CGGGCCTGGTGGTGGCGCCGCACCGCAGGCATGTTGCGCTGGCGCCGCGCTACCTGGGCCGCAAGTGCACCGGCATCCGCGCCCAGCTCGACGCCGAGCTTCTGCGCTACTCGGAAAGGTGCGCCCGGGAAGGGGGTTTGGGCCCTTCTGGGACAGGAGGGAGCCTTAGCCCGCCTGGGGGCCTGCCGCAGCTGGTGGGGAGCGTTCCCAGCCCGGTGGTGGCTGTTTCCGGCCTAACAGCTAACAGTGCCCCTCCCCGCTTCTCCCCCTGTTCCAGCCTTCAGGGTGTGCCGGTGGCTTACGACAACATCAAAGTGGTGGGTGAGCTTGGGGACATTTACGACGACCAAGGGTTCATCCACGTGAACATCGAGGCGGACTTTATCATCTTCAGCCCCAAGAAGGGGAAAAAACTGGTGGTATGTAAACGCGTTGACGCTTTTTTTTAGTAAGTGGTCAGAGCTTGGCTTATCTCCATCATCATCAGATGTCTGGGACTTAGGGAGAATTATAGTTTAGTTTATAGTAGTAGTTTATTAGCAGTGTGTAGTAGTAGTTGTTTGTGTTGTCTCTCCCTATGTTTGTTTAGTGTGTATATATTTATATATTATTAAAACATCGTATCATAAGGATTACCTATTAAATACTGTGACATAAATTTGTATGTCATATATTCATATTGATGCCTCTTCCTGAAGAGCAGATAATTCTCAAATAGGTATGTTTGGTCTTATTTAATAGTGGCAGGAATGTTTAGGGTATTCTCATGAGTTTATTTCCTTCAAGTACAAGATTAGTACATCACACTTAGGCTTGCTTTTCAGTAAAAGGAAACTGTATGGCTCACAGAAGAGCTTTAAGCTTGTTAATACCTTTGCTTCAATACTTGTGGGAAAAATAAGTTGGGAGTTGGCTTACATTCATTATTATGCTATACTTTTTGCAGCATAGCTTGTGTCTTTCAAATTGTGATTAACAAATGAATGTGACCTCTGCTGGGAAGAGAATGGAAAAATCCTCAGTGTCTTTCATTCATCCTTTGGGAAAACAAAGGTGAATAATGTTTGACATACAAATGTGTCAGAAATGCACTGAATGGAGTATTTGAAAGCTTTTTTGTGTAATCTGTATCTTTAGCTGGTTAGTAGTGCTGTGCCAGCATAAAGATCATTTTAGGCAAGTAAATCAGATTTAAGATGGTTTTAAAGCAAAGCTTGTGATGAAAGAGTTATCTGTTCTATTCAGATACTCACTGCAGTTAAATCCCATGTGTTGGCTTGCTTGCTTTTGCAGGTACAGGTTAAGTTCTATTTTGGGAGGAATCGTATGAAGAGTATACAGGAATAGCTTTGATTTTAGTAAGAAGAGTTAGGTTATTTACTGGTTAAACTGGCTTGGTAACTTGCGAATGAACTCTCTCAAAAGTGTCAATATAGGAAACCAAAAATATATCGTGTGCATTTAAAGGGATGATCGTTTCATATGACATTATTTTTATTTTTTTAGGGTGTAATTAATAAAGTGGCCCCTAGTCATATTGGCTGCCTGATACATGGATGCTTCAATGCATCTATCCCTAAACCTGAGCATATGTTGATTGTACAGTGGCAAGAGCTGGGGTTAAAAATAGGGGATGAACTGAAATTTCGAGTATTGCACTTGGATTCTGATGCAGCTGGAGTGTTCTTCATTCGAGGAGGACTCACTAAAAGCAGGTATTGTGCCCTACTGGAGAATATTTTTAACAGTTTTAAGGGGTTTGTTACAGGCTAAATTATTTGAATTAACATCTTCGTCTTTATGCTTTCTTAATTTTACATAAACCCTGGTCTATGCGCAGCCTGTGTTAGTTATCTTAAATTAAACTTTCTAGTGTTAAGGGATTGCATAGAAATTTTCACTGGAAAAACAAAAGTTGATTTTTTTTTTTTTAGGCTTTAGAAATCTTTGCATAAATGTGTTCAAAATAGCACCCCTAGATGTCTAGAGTAGCTGTGTTTATGAATGTGCATAGGTTTTTCAAGCGAAAACACATGGTTTCTGAACATCATGTTTACATCGCTGTTTACAAACACACACGTATTACATAACCACAAAGTTATATGTGGATGACTTAAATGCTTGCTGAAACGTAAGAATATCAAAGTTGATACAAGAAAATGCTTTACCTTCCTCCTTTCGCTTATGCCTCTGTAAATTTTTAGAGCAGCTTGCTAAAAATCTTAGTATATGATATCTTTAAAACAGTTGGTATTTTTTTTTTGAATACTCATTCACTGAGCAGTTTTTTTTCTACCAACGTAATTATGTTTTTAGATACATGTACAGTATGACTACTACAACAAAATCATAACATTTTTGTTTCTTTTTTTTTTCTTTTTTAATCTGGAAGGATGCTCTGGATTGTTTCAGTGAACTTATGATGAAACTTAGCGATTTTGTCCTCAGTGTCTATGGGGGCATCTCCTCCATGATTTTTAACTTCATTCTTTTCGTATTTGTCTTCCTAGACAAATCTTCTCAGGTGCTCTCAGTTGCAAAGGTACCTGCTGGGTGTGTTTTATTTTGTTTAGGTTTTTTTTTCTTCTATTTCATTTGGCTGACTTTTCCAGCATCACTTTTGTTTTAACTTTATAGGCTTCAGCAAGGCAGTTTCTTGGTAAAACCCGCAGTGTGTTTTATGTATGAATGAACAGGCTGTTGGCTGTGTGTGTTTGTGAATAACTTTAAAAAAAAAAAGCTTTACTACACACTGTGTAATTATGATTTAGTGGATGAAGGAGTACAAGGAAACAGGAAATAATCAAAATGGTCTGTACAGCATTGTAGAGAAGGAATTTAGATTTGAAAGAGAATATTGATTCTGCAGTAAGAAGGAAGCTAGTTGGGTAATAGAAATTATTCTGAAAGTATTAAACTGGCTTTATGATTTTCTGTACCTAGAGTATCATGTTCTGCATTTGTTAGGGTTTTTTAGCAAATGCATATCTTTTATCTACTTGGTGTAAATACTGTGTTTTAACAAATTTTGACATTTCATTATGTGAGGTGCACTTTCATGTCTCTACTTCAGTTTATTTTGTGTATTTCTTTACAGCATGAAGCCCAAACCATCTGAGACTGTTACTGACAGTGCAAATGGAGATGAAAGTCAGAAGCTTGACTCCCAGGAAAATGACTTGAATGACTCTGGGGGAGATAATGTCACAGAGGAGCCTCTAAGTGAGATGGATAACACTGGAAGGGAAAATGCAGAAGAGCAAAGTGTTGATGCTGTGAATGGATTGTGTGATGATAAAAACATGAAGAAGAGGAAGAAAAAGAAAAAGCATAAGCAAGAAGAACGGGAACATGCATTGCCTACCAGTGATTCCAGTGGTTACCAAAGTGATCATAAAAAGTCAAAGAAAAAGAAAAGAAAGCATTGTGATGAAGTTGAAGAAAGCGAGTTATCTCAGCTGTCACAAGAGCCCAAAGCTAAAAAGAAAAGAAAGCATTGCAATGAAGGTGAAGAAAGTGAATTATCTCAGCGGTCACAAGAACTTAAGGCTAAAAAGAAAAAGACTGAAGTCTGAAGTGCCTTTGCTGAATAAGATTTCAGACATTTTTGATAAGCTTCCAATAAAATACTGTTTTCAAAATGCATATGTGTATTTTTTTACTAAACGATCTGCTCTGCCAGGTGGGATGATGTTTGTGTGCATGTGTGCACCAACAGTTTTAAGGTAGGAGCTTTTAGAGAAGTGATAGAAGAAATGGGAGAGAAGCAATATCTGCCTGTGTTATTTACTGGAAAATAAGGCACGGAAGAATAGCAGAATGTAATTACAGGAACACATGCACGTAATACACACCTTTGTGTCTGTTTCACAGTTCCACACATTAACCAGTAGCTAGTTGCAATCTTTGCTACTCTGATCAAATCTTTGCTGCTCAGCATCTTGATTTTAGAAGAGTAGATTAGGTTTACCTTTTGATTCTGGGAAATACACATGAATTCACAGGTGCTGAGATTTTTTTGTTTGTTTGTTTGTTTTGATTGAAATTCTGCAGTTCTACTTCAAGGTTAAGCAAACTCTAGTGTCTTGGATCTCTCAAAACACATTTTGTGGTACTCTAGGAAAACCAGTATGATCAATTGATTCAGAGCAAGCAGGGAAGACAGGAGAGGATTTATGTCATCTAATGTGAAGTACCACCTACTGGTTAGAATACGAGTAAGATACAAGCTGATAAAGCAGTAGGTAATGGACATACTTTAATACAGTTAATTTATATGCATCAAGCTCATTGACTTTACCAGTTGCTTAAAAGAAAAAGTTGAAGTGCCAACTCCCTACTTTTTTAGCTAGTTGTAACTTTCAAGCACTGCTCTAGAATAGCAGGTACATACTGTCAGTATTTTCCAAGCTGTTGGAATTAATATTAGCACAAAAAGTTCTGACCATGGGAAAATGACAGTCAAATATCAACAAATGTGCCTTTATTAAGAAATAGTTTTCCCACATATAATTTTACAAATGTCAGTACTTTTGGTTGCAGCTCTTTTCTATTGTGAGTTCTGGGTGAATTGTAATGTGGTACGGTCTTGGCTAAATCTTTAACTGAGGTAGGAGGCATTGAGTACTTTGTTACTGATTTACCTATTACAAGTACACATAGCCAGCTCTTTGGAAGCCTTGTAAGTAAACAGCATGTATGTAGAAATATACTGTTCATCTGTTTTAAGTGTCAAAACATTTTGCTCTAGTGATTACACTGATGCTATTAGCTCACTTTACTAGATTTATGTACAGTGACTAATAACCATTCAGATTGAACATGTTCTGAATTTAAAGTGTGATATTATGTGTTTTGAGGCTCACTTTGTGCTATGTTAATGTCTTTTATGCACCTTTAAAGCTCCAAACTTACCAAGAGAAATCTAAGTTTCTGTCTTCTGGCTTGATGGCATGGCAGTACATCACAGGCATTTTGAAGTTATAATACTATAAAGAACCAAGTTAAGAGTTTTTTGAAGACCAGTAAGGTGAGCTTAATTAATAATCTGTTTTGTTACAGCATGCTGCAGGGTCAACTGAGGTAAGTATTTTGATGTGTTAAGTTCTGCACAGAGTAACAAAAAATCCCACCCTAACAGGCATAAAATTTAACTACACTGGAGAGGCTGAAGGTTGGGACATAATTTACAGTCAAATTATCTGTTAGCTACCCTTTATTTTTCTTTTTTTTTTTTAAATGAATGGATGTAGAAGAAAGAAGTTAGATGGGTAGGTATGGAAGATATATCAGAGAGGAGTTTGGCAAGGGCAGATACTTTTTTGTTGATGTGTATAGGACGAGAAGGATGGAAGCAGTCGGTATTGCAGATGAACCAAAGATAGTGGGTCATATGACTTTATCTGTTAGTCCATAATAATAACTATTGCTCACTTTCCCTTTTAGGGAAGATAAACACATCTCCAGGAGACCCGCTATTGGTGTCTGCAGCATAAGACAATGCCCACCAGTTCAGAGGACCAGCTTGTAGCACCAGGAGTTTTGTCTTGCTCTGTTCCATCTTTTCATCAGTGTGGAGAAAAGGGAGACCTTTGCAGGGGAAAGAACTGAAGTTGTGACTAATGAGTCAAGTAACAGACAATATAAATGCTTTCAGCACTTTGAATGCTCTTTCCACTTTTGCTGCTTTACCATTCTCTTGCTAAAAGAGATTCGCCTGCTGTAATTTAATGAACTATGCAAACTGTCTTTTTGAGCATATTAAGCAAGTTTTCTGAGAGGCTAATGTAGTCTGTCTCAGTTGTGGGCTTTATTTAAAGGTAGGATTTTTTTGACACAAACATGGCAGGCACCCTCTTGTATCATTTTTTGGTTTTCCTTCTTTGCTTGGAACAGAAGAAAGCATTTAAAAATTAAATTAAATGCAGAAGCTGCCAATTCATGATCACTGAACAAGTTCTTGCTCCAATATTGCAAATACTGTAACATGGTTTAGGGCTGGGCCAACCACTAAATCCTGGACAGACGTTCTCTATTAACCCCTCTCCCCTCCCCAGAAGGGAAGAGAAAAGATTATAAGGTAGAGAGACTTTACGGGTTGGAAAATTAACAGATTTAATAAAACAATAATACTAATACTGTGGTTTGAGGGGGTATTGAGGGGTTTGGGGCTCTAGGGGGTGTCTTTGAGGGGCCATTGGGGGGCCGGTGGTGTATAGGGGAGGGATTGAGGGGCTATTGTGGCCTATGGGGGGGATGGGGGTCACGTGAGGGGGTATTGGCGGGCCTGGGGGGGCATGGGGGTCTCAGGGGGT